CCCTCATCCTCCTCGACCAAGCTGAGCTCCTCGGACACCGCGCTGCTGCAGCTCCCCCCAGTCTGACGCCCAGAATTCCTCTTCCGGAACCTGTAGGCTCTTGACTGCTCCTCGAACCCGGCCGGGTCTCTTCCTCGGCTGAGGACGACTCTCTCTCTCCTCAACCTCGTGGAGATAGCCGGCCTCTCGGGCCGGAACTTCAAGGTCCTCCGGGACTTCGGCCACCTCCACAATGTCCCCAGTATGGAAGAACTTCCCAGTCTTAAGCTCTTGGACGAAGTAGCCAGGTGTCGTCAACGACATTGTGACCGCTGGACATAGGATTCTCACCTGAGTCCTCGTAGTGGAGAGGTACTTCTGCCGATCACTATACAGCTTCCTCTTGGCCCACACCTGTTGACCGAACTGAGCCAGTTCTCGCCGCTTCAACCCCATCGACTCCAGCTGCCTCCTCATCTTGCATTCGGACCAGTGTCTAGCGGCATGGCACCAATAGCCCTCATCCAACCCTGCAGCCAAGAGGAGTGTTCTCGCGCCCCTTTTCACCTGTGCCACTGCGCATTCTGCTCTTCCATTTCCTCGGAAGTTGTCGGCATCGGTGAAGGTGCGCATCACGTTTCTCTCACGACACCAACGGTCGAATGCGCGAGACTGATACTCGCCTGCCCGATCCGAGTGAAGCCGCAGGACAGGAAGACCCAAAAACCTCAGCCTTGCGTGGAAGCGGCTGATCGCCTCCACCACTGCCTGCCCACCACGGTTCTCCAAGATCTCGGTCATAGTGATCTGCTTGACCGTGAAGTCTGTCTCCTTCTCCACTTTCTCGAGCCAGGCCTCATCGTCCCCATCTCCCGGCCACGAACTCCCCACCTCCTCAGTCGCTTCCTCCGCCACCGTGGTGAGCTCTGGTCCATCCACAATGGCTCCAGGGAGTTCATCATCCTCGTTGATCGGGATCAAGGTCTGGCCGTCTTTGGAGACCGGAACCAGGTAGACACCGATGAGGAGGTACCTGCCTCGACCAAGTTGATCGTCCGCCTCCTGGAAAGGTCCAGCTGTGTCTATCGACAGCGTGTACGAGTCAGGATGTGGGATCCGCTTGTGTGCACGCCCACGTGAGGCGGCGACAACACACGACTTGCATTCTCTGGAGTACGGTATATGACCGTTGAGAAGATGTTTTTTCCAGGCCACAAATTCCATTCGCTTGACCAAGCCTTCAGGTTGTTGGAGAGCATCTCGAATCCCCGCGACCACTCCAGCCTTGAGACCAGGTGCCCATGCCGACCAGGTCCGACTCTGCTTAATGCGCTCCGCCAAGTCCTCCGCCAGCGCCCTGCCCCGGGTCCTCGAAGGTCCTGGAGCTCCGCCAACTTCGGGATGTTCGTTCCCAGTCGCGTGGGCTTCCTCCGAGGGTGACCCATGGGGCCTTGGTCGAAGCAGACCTCCATCATGTTCCATCGCTTCTTGAAGCTTTTCCACTCCGGCCAACTCCAGTAAGAGGCATAGCGCTGCAGCTTCTTCTCTTCTTCCCTGATGTACTCCTCGGGGTCCTCGGGCTGCTCCAAGACCGACAGGGTCACCTGGGACTTCCTTGCCGTCGCCGCTCGATGGTACAGGTAGAGCTGCCTGAGGTAGAGAATCGTATCATCCTCTACCTGCTTCTGAAGATACCTGTCCAACTGGGGCAAGCCAAACCGATATGGGCCCTCCCTTTCCCTCAGCGGCGGGGGTCCAGGCTGTCGATATCGAAGACGGCTCATTGTTCTACATGGTGGACCTCCCAGCAGCGTGCACAAGGTGCCACTGTCGGCGATGTCCAGCAAGTAGGCAAAGACATCGTCCATCAAGAGGTTCATGGCCGGATTGATCACTGTGTCCACGCAAAGAACCACCCGGTTCTCCGCCTCGAGTTCCTTCTGCCAGAACTGCTTAGAATCCCCACTGAACAGGTGGATCACGACCTCCTTCGCCTTTCGAACTCTCCTTCGCTCGTGGCGGTTCCACGGAAGCCCTTCTCCTGTCCACCCCTTCTTCGGCAGCAGCCGCTCCAGCATGTGATGTGGTACTTGAGGAAAGAGTTCCTTCAGTTCTCCCAAGTGCCACGCTTCTTGATCGCTCACCTCCAACCCCGTCTCCTCTCCGGCCAGAAATGCCAGGCGAGCTCGAATCTCCTGAATGAGCTCGATGGCCAGATCCTCACTGATCGTGGGGCAAGAGTTCTCGATCCTCGTATCCAGGGTGATCCCGGCGGGGTCCGTCAGCTCGAAACGAGTCTTTTCCCACACCGCTTCATCCAGCGGCACGATGACTTGGACGTCCTCCTTAGTCAACAGGGTCTTAGTCCACGGGAGCAACCTCAGCACCACCGATCCAGCCGCCAGCTCCACATTGACCTCCTGGCCCCTTTGCCACTCTTCTTCGTTCGCTGCCCGTCTCAAGCAGTGGGTCGCCCCACCGTCCAATAAGGCCCGTCCTCCTTCACGGACTTCAAGGCTGCTCAGACGGATCGTCTTGATCGAGGTGGCCGGTCTCAGGCTCTTCAGGAGCGTGGTCGCTTCATTCAAGAGGTCCTTGACATCTCCGGCCGTCCCCGCACCTCGATCCCCTTCATTGGGCGCCACTGAGTCACCAGCCTCACTCCCCCCAGTCTTCGCCATGGGCTCCGCAGTCTCCGCTTTCACAGGCTGTGCGTTCTTTTCCTTCACAACCTTCACCACTGGCTTCTCTGGCGTCGAACCCTTCGGCTTCATCACTGGGCAGTCTCTTTTCGCATGCCCTTGGGCCGAGCATCATCTCCCTTTCTTCTCAATGCCAGTCCAGTCGTGCTTGAACTTGCAATCTTGTCCCCTCCAGCACCCCTCCTCAGAGCCCCAGAAGCGGCACACCTTCTCCGTCGTCTCATTCTTCACCCTATAGGCTGAGCTCTTGTCCAGCTTCTCCTCTAGGGTCGTGGCCATTGCCTTGACCTTCACCGTTGTAGGCGGCTTCACCTCCTCAACCGGCATCGGATCCCCCAGCGCCAGCGTCTCCGCCTCTGCCAACAGCGAGTCCGCAAAGCCCAACACCGATGCAAGGGTAGGCGTCACATCCACCCCCAGCGTAGCCCTCGTCGAACTCACTCGGAAGGCTGCTTGACTTGATGCCTTCACCACTGGTGCTGACATGCGGTCCACAGCCCCAAGCAGTAGCGTGGCGTCTGGTGTGGTGATGTCCAGCTCCTGAGCCCGTCTCAAGCTGCGCCTCCAGCCTCTCAGGATCTCCAACAACTCCGTGACATTCCCAGGCGTCTTCGGCTCGACGAGGGATCTCAGCAACCTTGATCTCTCTGCCAGCCCTCCAGGTTGATATCGACGGAAGAGCGCAAACATCACCTCCGTTGAGCTGGTAGTCCTACTCGCAAGGATCTCGGACTTCACCCCGCTTGGGACGGCGTTCAGCAGCATCAGTTGTCCTCGCTGCTCCAGTCGTGCCCAACCTCCATGACGTTCAGCCAAGGCTCGAGGTCGAACATAGAGCTTCTGGACCGGCTCAGCTCTCAGCCATTCCTGGTAGGCTTCCATCGCAGACCTCATGACCTCTTCCCACCACATCCAACTGTTGGTTGAGAGGTCCTTCATGGTTGGTGACACCAGTTGAATCCAATCTCCCAAGATTAGGCTTCCCAGGTCACCCTCCTTGAGGTCTGCCAATTGGGGTAGGCCCACCGATCGGATGTTCTCACCCATCCACGACGACCCATCACTTCCACCTTGTCCCAACTGCCTCAACACCGTATGAGCAGCTTGCTCCAGCGGCGACCCAGCTTGATGGGCCCTGCTGTGGTGATGCTCTGCACCTAGTTCCATCCCCAGATCGCCACGTCGTTGGCCTCCCGGATGTAGTCCTTTCCCATGACCTTCCCAAGAATCGGGCACTTGTGGTACTCCCGAACGAGGATCTTGTCCAGGCCAGATGGACCAATTCTCTCCCCTTGGTCCTGGAGTCCTCGGAGTAGCCCCAACCGGAAACTCAGGCATCCTTCCCAAGTCGACCCATGCCTGACTCTCAAAGTGTTGTTCCGAAGGCGGTGGTGTACTGGTAGGTGGTCTCGGGGTCGAGTTCTTCACCTCCTGATTCTCCTTCAACTCCACCTTCTTCTTCAACTCGTTGAGCTCCTTCTTCAGGGATGCGTTCTGGGTGAGGACTGCCCTGAGCACCTCCTGCACATCCACAAAGGTCCCCTGGCCGCCATCCTCAGGCTCCACCCGGCTAGCAGCACCAGTCTCCTCCGTGGGTCCCAGTGACGCTGGCCTCATCGCTCTTAAGATGGCCTCACCCTGCATCCGCTCCGACCAGAACAGGTTCACCAGCGTTGACTGCTGGATCGACCCCTGGCCCTTTCCATCCTTGCCCGCTCTCCTCGTTGGTCCATAGGAGACAGGCGGTCCCACTGCCAATGCAGTCTGCCTGACTGCCACTGCGTCCTTGGCGTCCTCGATCGCCAGCTGCTCTGCCTCTTCTTCCGCGCTCTGCATGCCACCGCCGCTGCCGTCTGGCGTTCCTGCACTCGCCGCAGCATCTTGGCCGCCAGCAGCCTTCGGCGCAGCTGCCTTTGCCGCCACCTTCGCAGCCGCAGCCGGCATGGGGACCAACAACCGTGCTGACCTCGTGTCAGTCACGGGTGGACTTCGGAAAAAAGCTTGGGCTCATAACCCGTGTGTCCTGCAGCGGACTTTTTCTGCTCCAAAAAAGGGCTCCGGTAAAGTATGCGATCCGACATGGTACACACTCGATTTGTGCACCGAAGCCTAGCAAACTTGGTACACTTCTCATGTACCTCAAACCTCGCTTGGTGCACCTGCAATTCTAACCCCTGCGGCGCAATTGTTCAACGTCAAACATTATATCAGCTGTCGACGCTATGAGTTCTGCCATTCAATTGGTAGCAAGGTTCTGTTTTCTCTCTGCTTGTTGATTTACACTCCCTTTGTGGGCACGTGGTGGTTTGAGTGTGCTAGGTGCCCAATGAGAGCTGCGGGCTGCTGCTCACACGCCGTGTGCTTTGCTCGGTGGACGACCAGCAGGAAGCGCTGCAGGAAATCTTCCGAGTGCTGAAACCAGGCAAGCCCGTTCTGCGAGTCCACGATAAACAGGACAACAGTTCTTGTTTGCTACGTTCCAGCTGTATCAACAAGGTAGACAATCCTAAGCGAACAAGACTTTGTGAGTTGTGGAGTCACGAAATGAAAACCGTAATGAGGTAAGATCAAGTCCACAAGGGGCAGCAACTTTGGACAAAACCTGCGCCTGGAACCTGGATGTGCCAAAGGATCCAAACATGTTGGAGTTGAGGAGGTGATATGGTGACGATCACACCCGACAATGAACACCTCAGTGAATAGATGCAAACAGAAGTTGAGGCTTTGTGCAGATCCTTGCCTGGCTGCCCTTGCGGCGCTTTCACTGCTTGGTTGTTTCAGTGACCGTTGCCTCCATCATTGCTGGGAAGAAAAGCCTTGCTGGCACCTGCGCTTGTTTACAATAAGCGTGCTTTCTGTCGAAATACGCGTGCCCAAACGCACCTTTTCAGAGCAGTGCCAATTCTCACCACGTAGCATTGCGGCTCAGAGGAAAAAGGTCCGTAGGTGCGCGGCTGCACTGCAGCAGAAAGATGAAGCCGAAGCTGAGAAGCTACACCAGGTTTAGATGAACGAGAAGATTGAGGAGTTGAAGCAACTGATTGACAAGATGGTTGATGACGCCCGACAAAGCTCGTGGCAGAACTGCAGAAAGTATGAGAAACGAATGAGTCTGAGTTGCTTCAAGATCAGCTTGATGAGCTTGAGTTTTCCACCGAGATACGGAGCCACGCATCAGCAGCCAGCGCCAACTGCACCTGTGCGGACGTTTGTGGTGGAAACCCTTTTGCCAAGTCCCAGCATTCCAGGTGCGGCTCAAAGCAAGAAGACCAAAGGCTCCTGGGACATCAGTTCGAGTGGTCTGACGACCAACGTCTCGCGGTTTGAGGCTGGCGAGGTTGAGGGGTGTTGGTGGAATGGGCGTCTCTTGTCTTGCGCTGCAGCTCAAAGCCTTCTGCTCCTTTCTTGTCGCCGCAAGTCATGTAGTCGTCCTTGTAGTCGACATAGTGGGCGTGAGTCGAGCAGCAGTCAGGTGAGGAACTGAGATTGTGGACAATGTCAAGCAGACGCCTGAGGTGACAAGCAGAACTTCACCAATGAGACGGATATGTGTTTAGCGTTCCAGGACTATGACATGACGGCTATGAGCTCAGCAGATGGCGAACGTGAAGAGTCTGGCATGGATGAACGGGTTTGTTGAGGTCGCAAGCTTGTTGCTATGGGCAGCTGGCTTGAGTGAGGAGTTTCTAGCGGAAGTCCTACAGTGGCAGTCTGTTCGCGCGCAGAGGCGCAATGAACTGTTGAGCGAAGTGTTGAGACTAAAGAAGATTTTGAAGCAGCTTGAGCTAACAATGGCTCAAACAGGTCGTGCGTGCGTTGTTGACAGTTGAGTTGATGGAGCTTTCCGTGACAGCATTGAGGATTGTGTGGAGGAGGACCGGTGTTGCAGGTTGTTGGACAGCGTGGTGCATTCGCCTTGCAATGATCTGGTTGTCGAGCTGCGAGCTGGATGGCGTGTGAGAAGAGAGACTCAAGAATGGACAAGAAGAAGAAAGCAAGAAGTCGAGCAGGTTGCAGCTTCAGACGCTGATGCTTTTGAGCCTCACGCGCTACTCATGGCGTGCAGGCAGATGAGCAGCAAATGTCACAACTGGCAGCCGCAGCAACAAATGATGCAAGCGCAGCTGAACATGCTCTGACAGCTCTGACAGCAATACAGACATCGTCAGCAGAAGCTTCAAGCAGTTCAGGAGTGGTTGGAAGTCTTCAAGCTGGTTGGACGGCAGGCTCAAAGGTTTTGAGGAATTCAGATACCTTTGATGGCAGCGATCCACGTGGCCAGATGTTTTCAACTCGGTTGGTTGCGATCCTGACTAGCTACTTGAAGGGACGTTGCCTACATCTTGTGAGGTCTGGTAATGACAAGAGAGATGAATTCCACCTATATGGAAAGAATTCCATCGAGAGTATCTCCCAAGTGCAAGAGCAAGAAGCCTGGCCTTAGTGCAAGCACTGGCAGCGTACCCAGCATTCTCGAAAGCAAAGACGCTTCTTGAGAGCGTGCTCGGCTATGAACAGCTGGTTCAAGAGTTTTAAAAGGTGTCAGGAACAACATACCCGCAGGGGCTGAAAGCAGCTACACTGATTCGACGCAGTGAGATTTGCCTGAGAGAACACCTTCAGCTCACCATCAAAAGTCACAGTGGTGACCAGGTGCTTGGTTGGGTAAAGACCACATGGATCATGATCTGGTGTTGGTGAACGGCAATGAGATTGTGAGGTGCGAAGCAGTTCGTGAGACTGGACAGCGCTGGAATGGCGAGCTTTTAGTTTTAGTGAATGCCATTGTGGGCCCGTGGGGCATGAAGAGAGGAACCCACACAAAGGTTGAGACTATGGCCATTCCTGCACCTACACCAGAGTTGTTGTCAGAGGTGCCGCCAAAAAGCGTCATGAAATTCCAAAAGCTTCGCGCAGAGATCGAAAGAGGAGAGATGATGAAACAGATCAAGATGCTGAGGATGTCCGCAAGTATGCAGAGGATCACCCAGAAGAAGACAGAAACATTGAGGTTGAGAATGGGGAGACGAGCTTTGAGTAAGGCGGGGCTTCGTCGCTAGAGCTTGCTTCAGCTGGAATCTTTCCTCAGCAGCCAGAAGGAGTTGCCCAAGTGAGCTCAGATAGACGCCAGAAAGCACTCTTCGACAATACTCACTTGAACAGACCTGCAGAGCAGCAAGGAGGAGGTGCTGCAAAGATGGTGCGCTATCCAGATCTACCAATTCGAGAGCCAACTACTAAGGCACCTAGGACCTCTTCTTCCGCAATGCAGAGGAGAGTAAAGACGGAGAGAGGCAAGAAGAGTCGAAGAGATTGAGATGTATGTTGAAGATGAACCAGAAGCAGAAGGTGACGAAGATGAGGGCGCCTATGACTGGAACCGTGCCATGTCAACTAAGGCAGAAGCGTTGCTGAGTCACGAGGAGATGGAGCGAAGAGGCTTTTTCAATGAAGGAGGTGGGCCCCTGCAAGTGAGCGTTGATGAACTCCAAGTTTTGGACCAGCAAGCCATGCTGGCGGAGGTCAGCAGATTGAACGACCTCACAGTGATTGAGCAGATGAACTTGAGGAGAAATGAAGATCCAATGAGATTGGCGGGTGAAGCAGAAGTGAATTCAGAGGGTGAAGAAGAAAAAGCAGACGATGAACCAGATGACGATGAACTGCCTGGTGATGATGATGGGCGTGATCCTAACGAGACAATCCCTTGATACACCTAGACCGAGGAGAAGGATTTGGCAGAAGTTCAAAGGAGACATCGCCGCTGGCAGAGGAGAAGTTGATGTAGAACCAGGACCTGACCAAGAAGCTGAGGAAAGGCCAAGTCAAAACTTCCAGTCAGAAGGTTCACGCGCAATGGAGGCGCCCAATGATGAGGATGAAGAAGGAGAAGGCAAAGACAAAGATGCCGAGGGGAGCAGAGGCTGAAAAAGAGGCAAAGAGTGAGAAGGATGTTTTTCGACCAAGTCTGTCAGATTTGGTGGCAGACGGCCTTTTGAGCTATGGGTCGAAGCTGCAAGACATGGTCAACTGAAAACAATGAAGGAAACAGTGGCAGAGGATGGTTTGTGCTGAGATCCCTGCAGACTATGTCCTCATGGGGCATTGAAGGGATTCCTTTCAACGGTGAGGAGTTCCAAGAGATGAGGCAGAAACTGATTCGGAGTACCAGAGAAGCCCTGAACTGAGCGAGGCTAGAAGCCCAGGTCGTGCAGAAGAGAACGATAGCAATGTTTCAGAGGAAGAGATGGCAGAAGACCAAGTTCGAGCACATGGTCCTATCGAAGAAAGTGAGGACCCAGATGCGTGGATTGAGATGAGCTACTACAACACGGAGAATATAGAGACAAAGAGTCGAGAACAAGACTCCAGAGGAGGATGGCTGATGTACAAGTTCATGCGCAAGATTGTGCAATCAGTGCGCGAGTTAAGCCATGAAACAAACTCTGAGAGTGACAAAGTTTCACGATGGACTTCAGGTTGTGAAATGTGAAGGAAGGTAGGGTTCAGTGATGAACACTGACTCACTCCTAAGGCGGGGTGTGAGAAGATAGCGTGGCCGCCCTGCTGTAAGGATGAAACCTAGCCGGAAAAGTCAGCGGTTTTCAGAGTTGCTCAAAGAGCTGAAATCCAAAAGGGATGATGAGGGAAAGCCAAGGGTCAAAGAAGCAGACTCTATCGCTGGTCGGGCCCTCGTCCGATAAACCAGATGAGGCGTGGAAGTGGATCGTGGAAGTTTGGGACCCCGCTGTAAGTCGTGCTGATCTGGAACCAAAGCTTTGAAAGCCAGGAAGGAGTGTGACTGTAGACACGAAACTCACAGCTGCTCTCATGAAGCAGAAGCAGGCCAAGAAGGGGAATCAATCCAGCGGGGCAGAACGCGCTTCTACTTCAAACATCTGAGGATGCGGGCGCCCTGCGCTACACTTTGGAGGATTTACTCAAAGAAGGTAGGTTTGGACACCGCAGACCTAGCTTTTAAAGAAACACATCAACCGCTGGGACGCGGTGTTGGCCGGGATGAGAAGGAACCGGAGGAAGTATTTAACGTGAATTTTTGTTGCGACGGATCCGCCCCACACCCTTCTCAAGTACGACGTTGAATTGACACCTATGGTCGGGCAAAAGAGGGTGACCCAACAAGACCTATTCGTTCTTGGTTTCACCTCTAAGCGTATAAGGACACAGGACAGGAAGAAGGTCCTGTGTCGTGATTTTGTAAGAGGGAAATGCGCGAAGGGCAAGGACTGTCCATGCCGACGTGATAAGAAGGACAGATCCCCTTCTTGGCAGCGGACATCCCAGCCGCGAACGAAAGCCCCAGCAAAGTAAGCGTGTATCTACTTTGCCAGAGGTGATTGCCGTCGCCGTGACAAAGTGCTTTTTTAATTTCCCTGAAAAGAAAGGAGCAGCCGCGCCCAAAGATCCCGCAAGGCCAAACTCGCCAAAGCCGAACAAGGAACCTAAGCCGAAGAAACAGGCAGCTCCATGTGTTCGAGGGCAATTTGCTGGCAGCGCGACTCGCCGCAAGCACGGTTCACACCGTTACCCAAAAGCATCCCTTCGATGCCCAGGTTGGAGCGCGCGAAGCGCGGCGCAAAACATCCCATCAAAATGAGGTTGCAGAGATTGATCTCAACACTATTCCAAATCCTGTCACACCTTACGTTTTGGAGCAGACTCCATCGGTGCTCTCGATGGACCAGGGCGCCAGGCAGGTCGTCCTGACGGTAAAGCCATTGTCCTGAAATTTGCGGGTCATGGACAGCGCTGGGGCCGCTACGTTTCCTGGCAGGGTGAGTGGTGGACTCGTGGAGCCAACGGCCAATTATCTTCACGGTTGAGCCTTTGAAGACAAAGTTGCTAGCCTCACAGCTGCGCGATCTTTCTAAGAGTCAGCGTGGTCCTGCTTAATTCGGGCTCTGCTGCAATCGCAGAGGTGTTCAAAGACGCACCTTTTCAGAGCAGTGCCAATTCTCACCACCTAGCGCTGTGGCTCAGAGGAAAGAAAGGTCCGCATAGCTGCGTGGGTCAACGGCATTTGACTGGCTGGCGTTCAGTGGCTGAGATTGAATACGCGCATTCAAAAAGATGTTTGGTGTTTTGATTGTCGTGCAACTGAAGTGTACTTCCTGCTGCAGTGTGCTGCAATGTGGAAACACTGACGTTCCACTCCTTGAAGTCGAACGTGACTGCAGCGCTTTCCATGTTTGTGATGATGTTGAACACCTCAGCGCATGGTGCCCTGAAGCGATGTTCGCATATTGATTCTCAGCTAGAATTAGAGGCTGTACTACAGTTTCTGGTGTTTTCCAAGAACATCTGGCCACGGCAGCAGTGATCAACTCCCTGACTCCCTGGCCCTGTCCATGGTGTTCTTTGCACTTCGTACGGTTGACAGGTGGTGTCTTTGTCTTCATTGAACATGTGGCTGCCGAAGAGGGCTCGCCTTTGCGGGTGACGCAGGACTCGGCGCAGCTGGCTGAAAGGAAAAGACGACAAAGAGAGATCATTTTCCAACTTCCAAAGTCTTGCGCGGTTGAGTGAAGCGCCCATGGCTTTGACGTGTTTCGATTTTTGGCCATGCTGAAATGTTCTAAATGCAAAATATAGCACCAGTTGACTTCAAATTCGATGATTTTGAACAAACCTTTAATGCGCAACGAGATTGATCAGACATGGACCCATTTTCTGACTTTGTCAGGAAGTCTTCCGACCGGTCCAGCAGGCCATGGCCAACAACTGCGACATGGCACGCCTTTTGGATGCAAAGTGCGGACAAGATGGCCTCGAAATGCAAGGTGTCAGCAACCATGTTGAACTGGGAGTGAAACGCATTTTGCGACTTAAAGGCTTAGTCGAAACGCTTCTCAATTACAAAAAACTAAGCTCACCTTTCACATCGCCTCACCTTTCCTATCTTCTCTTTCATGATCCTCTCCTCAAACATCCCGAATGCGTAGTGAAGGGTTCTCGTTTATTAACTCTGGGGGTCTGGGGCGAGAGCCTTGTTCGCGACTCGTTGCTTGTGTTTGCATTCGGGTTCGTGGGTTTCATCTGGTTCTCAAGAGCATTCTGACTTGCTCGAGCTCTGCTGATTGTAGCAAGTTCCATGCGGTTGGCGCAGGGGAGACGGAGAAGGCGATCCGAGACATGCCGTGGAGCAACGTGGAGGTGGTAAACTATGAGGAGGCCTTCAATGGCCCATTGAGTCCGTCTGGATGCCCAATGGATGGATGGTGTGCGATCATTGTGTTGCGTCCTGTGCATATTTGTTCGTTTACTTTCTGGTGGATGACAGTTGAGATAGCCAGGGTCGTCAAGAACTTTGGATGCGTCATATGCCAGGGACCTTTGTCTGTTTTTGATCACATCGACCTGCATCAAACCCTGTTGGAAGATTACCGCGCAGCCGACCGGAAATCTTGACCGAGGCACATTCGGGGGTTGGCAGTGAAAGCTCGGTGACTTGTGAGACCTCAAGGTGGGGAGGTTCGAAGAGTATTCTGAGACGCCAGGCGATATACAACACTGTTAAGCTTTGGTTGGCAACAATGTTTGCAAAGCCAGAGCAGAGCCAGGGCATGTTTGGTTTGCTTTAACCCTGCCGGTTGGCAAGAGGCAACTTGGATTAGGGCAAGGTAAGTGTAAGTGTGATCAACCTACTCCCTGAATTTTGAACCCACAAATCACCAATCCTCTCAGAACGAGCAGATAGGGTCATGCAGAGTCCATTGTGAGAGCTTGAGAGTTCTTCCTTCGGAGTCTCAGAGCTGTCAAGGCCTCGAAGCCTTTGGGCGGCCTTGGGCGGTGTTGGTTGCCAAAGCTCCTAAACGCAAAGAAAAGGGTGAGCGGCCGAGCTTGGCTGGTGAGCTGCGTTCGAAGAGGATCACTAATAATCTAGCAAGGGGGAGGATGTGGTTCTCATCGCATCAGTCAACGCCTTTTCAAAAGTTATCAACATTAGTTAGATAGCAAAAGTCGGTTGTTGTCTCGGTTGTGCTTCAACATATCACCGAATTAACCATTAGGTACCTTAAGACAGGGGTGCTTTGCCCAGAAGAATCCACAGACGCTTCGTCCCAGCCACATGGCTCTCCTCCTACATGCCTCACGTGCCATCAGAAGCACGCTGCGTGTCGTGCAACTCATTTGTCACACTGCAGGAGGGAGATGTTATGCCATGAGGGACAAGCTTTCTGTGGACAACGACCACGCCGGTCTTTTACCACCATCCATGCGGCATGCTTGCACGCATAGCGTGTGCGTAACGGTTAGCAGCTTCCCACATCCTAACAGCTCTGGTCTTGAACTCTAGCTCTGCGTCTGTGTGTCTGTGCG